GAACAATCGTATGTTTCGTGAACCGTATAAACGGAACGTAGTACACAGCCTTAAGGGTTTATTTTTAGTTTTCCTGACGGCGAACGTGGAAGACAAGAAATCATTTACAGCGGGAGCATATTCACAATGATCTACTGTATTTACCTAGTATAACCTATCTTGGCGAAATGCTTCTTTGCTTTTATGACAAAATATTCAGTGCTTTCTTAAGCGTCACAAAGTGCTTGTTAAAACAAGTGTTTTTTTAATTTTCATAGGTTTCTGTGCAGTTTTTGGCCGTGTGTTTACTGCAACATGTTCTGTGCTCACCTGCAATCGAGCAAGTTAGACAGCTTGTTGTTATTTTTCTAGCTATCTACATGATTTGTATAATTATTATATTAATACTGAATTTACGTTCACAGTTATCGCAAGGCAATGTTGAGGACAAATAAAAAATATATGGATATACCTAGTGCACACAGTAAGAAAAGATCCGCTGCGACTGACGCAAAGATTGAAATCCAGTTCGCAGTGCGTCAATGTCAATCCCCCCAAAAAAGGACCTAAATATGTCTGGAAAAGTATTTTAGAAGTGTTATGGTAACCATAACCGGTATGCCTAATCCAATGTGTCTTAATGAGCTATTTCTGCTACTTAAACTAGTTTTGTATTGTCTGTCATTAATAACTAAACTGGTAATACTTCATGATTAATTGCGATAACATTTAGGGGCGTGCCCTGTATTGTGTTTACGTGTTCATCCAAGGGGATTGTTTTGTATGTTTTAGGTAGGTATGTTTCTAGGTCACCCGATGTCTTGTACTGTTCTAAATCACAAAGTGTTTATTTACTACTTTGGCCAACAATATTTTCGAAAATTTGCTGACGACACAGGTGGCCGCTCGCAGTCGCTTATGGTTTCTCCGTTCCCGTACTATTGAAGTGGGCCATGATCAACGACCAGATCCTAAAGGCATGTGTTGGTTCATATAGTTCATAAGTATACATAAAGGGTCACCGAAGTTTACCGAGTTCCTGTATTAATATTTGCATTGTATTCACAGTTGTACTTACATTGGTATTTAACTTAGTATTCGCATATCAGATAAAGTTCCTGTAACACAATATTCAAGCAGCTAGCGCTATGACTGCACTGACCACACAACTTCTTGCGGCCTGTGCAGAAACATGAACCGACACACAAAAACCTTGACCGCTTTGTTGTAAACATTAGCCAATCCAGTGGAAGGCTCCTCTCTGGCGGTATCAGCATTGCGTGTTGTTATAGAGCTCGGCAAAGTGAACCTTGAGCACCATCATTTGCGGGGCTATTTGAGGTTATTCAATCGATAATCTTGAAGAGAGAGAGAGAGAAGTAAATGCTTTAATCAAAAGCTGTAGATGTCTGTCGGGCTTTTCGCTTGAATGCTACTTCAAGTAGGGATCCTGAGAAAATTGTGAGATTTTGGGCCTACTTTAGGTGTCCTACAAGTTCGATTTATTATTTTACCGATTGAAGCAACAATAAGCAATAGGTAATCAAGAATAACTAATTACTCATTACATAGTAATAAAAAATAAAGAGTTGTAAGCATTTACAAAGGTTGGTAATACCCAACAGGTCTAATTTTCCTAGATCACATTGCTCTTTTTTTATTATTGGTCCAAGTTATCTGAGGTAGCTTGGTTACGAAAGCTTCTGGCGAGCTGCCCTATGGTTCATCCTAAACATTAGCGCATGCCCTTTGTACACAAGAATGCTTAATGGCGCCTGTAGGTATATGCGATAGCTTGCGTAAACTTCATGCAAGACACCTTAATTTTATTTTGATCCGCGTGTCTATTCATTATCTGCTTTCGATTACAAAGCACACCTAAACAAAAAAAACAATTGCGCCTGGCTCTGTATGACCAATTTCCTAATCTCATTCTGCCTTATTATAGTAACAACTCATTTTTAGCGTAGTTATGATGAATAAAAACAATATTTTGAAGTAATTTACATTTGAATTATGAAGCAACCGAACAGTTTCTTTCTTTATATATATAGTGGTGTAATAGTTGTCGTTCTCTAAGAAGCATTCTAAATGGCGTTAAACAATAAATTTACTTTGGGAGTGTTGTCGGTCTCATCACCCGTAAAAGATATCCAATCACTCTGGTTATAGACCCCACGCGCGGAAATCTATTTCTTGCCACACAAAGATCCTACGCTATATTTTCAGCCAACACGAACAATGCGCTAATACTATGAAATACACTGCCCTGCCACAGTGGTCTAGTGGCTAAGGTACTCGGCCGCTGACTCGCAGGACGCGGGATCGAATCCCTGCAGTGGCGGCTGCATTTCCTATGGAGGCGAAATTGTTGTAGGCCCGTGTGCTCAGATTTGGGAGCACGTTAAAGAACCCCAGGTAGTCGAAATTTCCGGAGCCCTTCACTACGGCGTCTCCAATATTCATGTGGTGGTTTTGGGACGTTAAACCCCACATAACAATCATTATGAAATACACAGTGCTTTCTTCTGCGAAGCAATAAGGAACACGGTGCTGCACGTCGTGTATATTTCAACATCATTCTGTATCAATCTACAGCTTTCACATGTACACGAAGAGTGCTCGATTTTATTTATTCAAAATGAGGCATAGTGTGAGGCTAATGCTTCATTGTCAAAATACCTTGTCAAGTACCATTTTATAGCAACTGTAACGTTCTCGATGAGCACTTGCCTTACTGCATGATACTGTGATGTACTGGCTGCTGTAGGATTCATGTTACCTGATTGAGTGGCTGACTTGACGTCATGCTTGCTTAACGGAGCATCTCTGCAATTCGGTGATGCTTCGTGACATAGTTGAAGGAAGTAGTTTAGTGTGTGTTTTTTCTTTCTTTTTTTGTAGAAGTTTCTCGAGTCACACGCTGTCCTATCAAACATGTATAAAAGGCAGACGATTCTACAATGCAACACGCATCCTACATTCTTTCTGCACTCGAGGTGAGTATCACTTGCCTAACAATCAACAGTCTCCCAATCATGCGTGTATTTAAGCAGAAAACGTTTTGATGTTCAAGGTTCGAAATGGCTGTTGATGACACTCATTAATGGTACTAGAAAGTGTTATCAGTTGGTTAAATGATTTAATGAATATTTTTGCCTTCTTTAACACTCGTTGTCCTCAGGGCTGCTAAAGATTATACGCAGTTTGTTTATGAGTACGTACGACAATACGATTTGAAGAGTCACGCTGTCGCTTGAAATACATGTTGATTCTGACTTGCATGAGATAATTTACGCAAACGTGAACATACGCTCATATATTTTACTGCCTCTACATTGGAAAACCAGGAAGCAAGTAGGACATAGTGCGTATGAATACATATCGCCGGCACACAGCTACCTTTAAGAAACTCGAAATCTTTATATGTTACATGAGCATTCAATTAGATTTCAATGAAACCAGAAAGTAACAGTTGTCAAATACGATGACGCCAACTTCACCAATTAAACTTTCGTTGTTATTAGGAATCTTGCATGGTTACTCTGCAAGCTTCTTCTCTTAGGCATTTACTGTAGACACGTTTGTTTTATTTTCTTCGCCAGCATAGCGTTCAAAGGTAGTCCTGTATTGAAAAACTGAGAGTCGCACGGGATGGCGGTAATGATAATGAGGATGAAGAAAAACATTTCACTTTCAGTGTCATATGCTGGAAGGGGCGAAACGGTCCTTATGGGCCCGCACTATACAAACACTAGGTGCGCACTTCTTTACTGTGGTTCATGGGCGTTCGCCGCGGCTCGCACACGCTCAACCAAGGACCATTAGGTCTTGGTTGAGTATGGTGTGTAAGCAGAATTTACGAATACCCTATTGACAAGCACATGCACACTGGGAGCGCGAAAGGAACGGCGACCGGTGGGGTAACCTGAGTAACGCTTAGGTGCCCTAAGCTTTTTGTACCGCTTCTAGCACTCTAAGTATATATGTCTTGTTAACGTATTTACGAAGCCAAACATTCAATAAAGCAAGCACGCTTTTCGAGGATAAGAATGTGTACGCACCTTTGCGTTAACCTAAATCTTATATGACATCAGAGGCACTATATATGTATATGTGTAGAGCTACTCGCTTGCCAATCGCAACGGTTCGTACTGGGAAGAAAAGCGAAATATCTGCAGCTTAACGTATGCACATCGACAATGCTTCCTCCTAAGCGATTCGGTTCACAGTAAATGCACTGCAACAATGTAAACAAATGACCACACAAGCGACACCACGCACACGTCTGGTACACCTTCGATAGCCACTTGTTTGCGCAGTTGTTCTACCTTTTACATTACGTTCGATTTCACTCTTTTCACGAAAGCGCGGGCTAAATATCTCTCCAACCACACCCGCTTTCTCCACTTCACAATCAGATGACATGAAGGGTCTCCTACATGAGCAAAAGTGGTTGTCAAAAGAAATTAATATTCCAAATTTTGACTGCAAGACTGTCGCTATAACGTGTTCTCGCATTCATACAAAGGCTCGCTTGCTTAAACACACCAAGCTTGGCTCCTACAGAGACTGCGCATTATTCAGGCACAACATTGCGTTTCATGGATTGGTCCTCTAACAAAGCCGCTGCGCTTCGCAATTATTGCGCGGATACGTGCCTCGAATACTCAAGTGAGGACGTCGGCACGTGCAACTTCGGAATTACAACCGGTGATGCTGTTGCGAAAATTGGTTCACTGGATTTCGAATCGCTGAATTCTGGTTGTTTTTTTATCTCTACTGAGCCCAACTGTGACTTACAGTACACCCCATGACGTACGACCTACCGTCCAGCATTTCGTGGGGTGTACTTTTGAAGCATGAGATAGATCAAATGACAGTTGTATTGCGTTTCAAATTTTGTGTTCAGCATTGCTTTTCGCCTACCTTTAAAAGGTGCGAGCAGATCAATTTCAAAGTGAAACAGTGCGGCTTAAAAAAATGGTCACGTGAAACTGTATCATACGTCTTCATTTCAGGTCCTACTGAAGGAGAAATGAGGCCCCAGCTCGTCTTCGCCACCCTGGTCGCATTCGTTCTCCTGAACTTAGGTTAGCTGCTGGTTTAGTTTCTGGATAATTAATAATATTACAGCTGCACATATCTTTTCTTTATAAATTGGTGGAAATGCAGGAAATGCAGGTACACTAAGCAACGGTATTTAGGAGCAGGTAATGATGTACGACATGTTGAAGGTATCATTTGAAATGTCTTCGGACGCCACTGTGCTCATCAGGTACAGGAAATTCTTATTCAGAGAGTTCTCACAATCTCAATAAGTAGAGATCAACAACTCACTCAACCCCGCCGTGGTGATATGGTCGCTAAGGTACTCGGCTGCTGACCCGCAGGTCACGGGATCAAGTTCCGGCTGCGGCGGCTGCATTTTTGACGGAGGTGAAAATGCTGTAAGCCCGTGTGCTCAGATTTGGGTGCCCGTTAATGAACCCCAGGTGGTCGAAATTTCTTCGGAATCCTCCACTACGGCGTGTCTCGTAATCATATGGGGGATTTGGGACATTCAACCCCACGTATTAATCAACAGCCCACTCATTTTATACTTGTAGTAGGATAGCAGCTATAGATCTCACAACACGTACCACATTTAAAAAATAAAACACGGATAAACAAAACTACAAATGCGCTGTTATATTGCTTTGCTTCCATTTCTTCAAACGTTTCAGTGTCTATTCAAGCTGCGCCTTTATTCCATTCTAAAGTTTTTATTTTATTGTCTTCTAGAACTAGTCGCAGACACTGCTTTAGGCAAAAATCTCCAGTTCATGCACTCACTGCTTCATTTTGTTCAGCACAAACTGCAGTCGCGAGTCTTTTAACCAACAGGATGCGAAGAATGAAATGATCCATTCATTTTGCAAAAAGAGGGCGCTACGACCAGACGTGAATTCAGGGGAAAAACCATTACATCGCACTAGCCAGTGGGATGATCATCGATCACCTTCAACTGTTGTTTTGTCGGTAGTCGTTAATGAAGACGCGACTGCTATTAGCCGCTGGTGAAAATGAGTGTTTCAAAGTTTTACAAATATAGAAATGGAAGAGTTGTGCTGAGGGGATTGCGTTGACAACATCTATTCCTTCTAGAGACAAGCTCATCAGATTTAGTCTTAGATGTTTTCGTTGGTACATTGAAGAAAGACGATGGTGATTGTTAGTGAAATGAGGACAGACGATACAGAAACGTGATTGCCTGGTATTTTGTACGATGGCGGCATTTCACACAAATAACACAAATGTCCTACTTATGGTGGTTTAGTTCAATGTGCACTGATATCGAGTCGGCTAGTGCAACAATGCAGTTTATAAGCCAGTTTGGGGGCGGTAGGCACATGTCATCTTGTGTACTGTACCCCAAGTTCTCAGTACTTCTTCAAGCATCATTAGCAGAAAGTCTCGCAGCAACCACTCACGAGCCCGCAAGGTGCATCGCGATGCAACAGAATGACTTCCAAAAACTTCTAGTCGTGCGTTCATTCTATAGAGCCTCGGCCCAAAGCATAAGAATATAACTTGCCTGTATAGCCGTTCGTTCAAGTGAATGCTGTGTCTGACGTCATCAGCTTGTGTAATGGCCACACATCTGATGAAGCGGCGGAAGTGAGACTCCTAGGCGAAGAAGCTTCGCAAGTGTCTTGTTTACAGTGTAGGCTGTTATGAGATCATAACAGAGTTCACGTGTGCCGCAGTTTTGCGTGGCAGGTGTCCGTAACCACCACCACGCAAAATTAGAAAAAAAACCTTCGTCAACAAAACACAGTAAGGACCGTATGGCATTTGAACTAGACTACCTGCGTACCACCCGAGTAGTCTACCACTGAGCTACGCTGGTGCTTAGGAAGGCGCGATGCAAACTGGCCTTAGGCAGGCTTGACGTAGAGAAAAGAAACGCGTTAATATGAGAATAGCGCGTTTCAGAACAGCAAAAGAAATAACCAGGCGACATACAATGCGAATTGCGTAACGAGTAGGCTATCGAATGCTCCAATCCATTACAAAAGGCTCAGATATAATTCTTCCCCATCGTCAGCCACAGCATAAAAAAACTGCACAGGATTCCTTCTACGGCAATATTCTGCGAAGACTGATGCAGGATAGCGTCGTGATTGCCTCCCTACTACATAAAGATCGTGATTATATATGGCGTAGTGGGTACCCTGCAAGTGCTCTTGTAGCCGTTACCGAAATATAGTTCTGAAAAGTCTCTGAAAGCCTACTCTTCCAGCTTTCGCTGTGATGATTGCTACACATTTCACGCAGGCCTGGTGGCTAGTTTTTAAAATACACAAGCACGTAAAACACATTAACTATAAAATATACACGTCCTTACGCACCACTGCTCGACCACCTTCCAAAAGTTCTTTAGTTGACACACGACCGTGATCGTTCGTCAGGGCATTATACAAGGCTTCACGATCGATGATGAGCGCGCCAGCAGCGTCTTATGATGCGCGTATATCAAACAGAGTGAGGCCCTGGACAATAAATCACCTCTGTTCTGTATCAAATATAAAATTCAGAGAATAATCATGGAGTGAAGGATGATGAGTGGTGCGAAGCATCCATCCGTCTGTCCGTCCGTGCGTTCGTTCGTCCATATATGCGTCTCTCCGTGCATCCTTTCATCCATCTGTTCACGCTTCCTCCGTTCGCCCAGGCATCCTTCCATGCTTCCGTCCGTCCGTCCGTCCGTCCGTCCGTCGGTGCGTGCGTGCGTTCCTCCATTCAGTTTCACACATTTCCGTTGCACCAACGCCATCTATGAAAGGAGAGGAGAAACGGTGATGAAACAGCACCATCTATTACACTGTTCTGGGGATGCTTCCGGTTGTGGTTGACGCAGGACAAGGTTAGACTGAGAGGAGCTTCACCCCTAAAAAATGCTTGAACGCAGTACAGCCGCGGCGCACGAGCGCGCGTCTATTTCACATTTCGTGTGTTCTGCGCGCTCTTGTTTTTTCTCGAAAAAAAATAATCAAGAATATTTCAACAGAAAATAAATTAATGAGGCGACGTAAAGCATAAGGTCGATATTTTTTTGATTCCAGTGAAAATAAAAAAGTTGCCTAAATAAGTTAATAATTTTACTCTTAATTATAAAAAAATCAATCTGTATGTATATACGACTACAACTAATATGCAACTGGTAGAACTTTAGTTGTAAGCATGTTTTTTCTTAATCCGTGGTGTGTAAAAAGGTAATAACATCTTACTATAATAACGAACAACACTCTAACTGCTTCGGGTAAATTACGATGAGGAAAATCATTGCCAGCACAATTGATAAGCAGAAAAGTTGTCAATATATTAAGAAGTTCATTGTACACGTTCGTTATGTTTCGTGCCTTAAAGTTGCAGAACCATTCTTACCAAGTGGCACTAAGTTTAACAAATGTTGTGATTGATAGCTTTCAATGTCTGTGAGCTGATGTATTTGTTTATTTACCCTAATGCTGAGCCTGCTATATATTTTGTGCTAAATATAGAGCTTATTTTAAAACGTTTCTTCCTTCGAATTTCAGGCCATACCGCGCCACATGAGCGAAAATCGTCTGAACACTCTGAACCAGACGAAAATGAGCTCGCTGGTGGAGGCTCTCGAAAGCCAACACGTTTAATTGAAAGTAGCAGAAGTGATGCAGAGACGACCACATCAACATTGAAAGGAAGCAGCAACAGCCACCAGGACGAAGTAAATGACCAGGAGGAAGACTGCGATGAGGCGAATGCAGAATCAGGCTCAACCACACCCGCAGCAGACAGTGCAAGCCAAGTTGAGGAGCTTGCAGAGGCCGAAGACTCTAAACAAACCATGAAATCCGGCACAAACTCAAGCGGAGCCGACAGTGACAGCCAAGACAAAGTCCACGAAGAGGACGAACACTCCAACGAAACTAATGTTTCTGGCCTGACCTCAACCGAAGAAAGCATTGAAAGTCAAAATGATGAGCACGAACAAGGAGAAAAAAGCACCGAAACTACTACAGAATGTGGCCTAATCTCAGCTGAAGCCAACAGTGGCAGTCAAGATGAACAGAACGAAGAAGATGAAGAACACTTCAACGCAATGACTGCAGAACCTGGCACAGTCTCCACCAATGCAAATAGTGGCAGCATTGATAAAGAGCGCGAAGAGGAAGACGACTGCAATGAGGAGACTACAGACTCGGGCTCAACCTCAACCGATCAAGACGTTGGAAGCCAAGATGAAGTCCATGAAGAGGAAGAGGAATCCAACGAGACTAAACAATCAGGCTCAACTATAACCGAAGAAAACTCTGGAAACCAAGACAACGAGCAGGGAGTGGATAAAGAATCCAAGAAAGCTAATCCATCTGGCTCAACCATAAGCGAAAAAAACAGTGGAAGCCAAGATAAAGGGAATGGAGAGCAGAACTCCGACAACGTAGGTACAGAATCTGGCTCGAACACGGCCGAAGCCAACAGTGGAAGCAAGATGAAGAGCTGGAAACGGATGAAGACTGCAACGAAACACAGAAGCTGGCTCAACTGAAACTGAAGAAACAGTGAAAGCCAAAATGAATGTAACGAAGAGCAGCAATCCACCAACGAAGCTGCAGAAAATGGTTCGAACTTGACCGAAGACAACATGGAAGCCAAGATGAAGAGCACGAAACAGACGAAGACTGTAACAAAACAACAGAAGCTGGCTCAACCAAAACCGAAGAAAACAGTAGAAACGAAGACGACGAGCAGGAAGAGGACGATGAATCCCAGAAAACTAAACCATCTGGCTCAAACAAAACAGAAGAAAACAGTGGAAGCCAAGATGACCAGCACGAAGATGACGATGACACCAATGAAACGACCGAATCTGGCTCAACGACAACCGAAGAAAACAGTGGAGGCGAAGATGGCGAGGACAAAGACTCCAAGAAAAATAAACCATCTGACTCAACCATAACCGAAGAAAACAGTGGAGACCAAGATGAAGGAAATGGAGAGCAGAACTCCAAGAACGTAAGTACGGAATTTGGCCCAAACACGACCGAATCCGACAGTGAAAGCCAAGATGAAGAGCCCGAAACAGATGAAGACTGCAACGAAACAACAGAAGCTGGCTCAACCGAAACCGAAGAAAACAGTGGAAGCCAAAATGAATGGAACGAAGAGCAGCAATCAACCAACGAAGCTGCAGAAACTGGTTCAAACTTGACTGAAGCCAACAGTGGAAGCCAAGATGAAGAGCATGGAACGGACAAAGACTGCAACGAAACAACAGAAGCTGGCTCAACCGAAACCGAAGAAAACAGTGGAAGCCAAACTGACCAGCACGAAGATGACAAAGACACCAATGAAACGACCGAGTGTGGTTCAACGACAACCGAACAAAACAGTGAAGACCAAGATGACGAGGACCAAGACTCCACGAAAACTAAGCCATCTGGCTCAACCACAACCGAAGAAAATGGTGGAAGCCAAGATGAAGGAAATGAAGAGCAGAACTCCGAGAACATAAGTACGGAATTTGGCCCAAACAAGACTGAATCCGACAGTGAAAGCCAAGATGAAGAGCCCGAAACGGATGAAGACTGCAACGAAACTACAGAAGCTGGCCCAACCAAAATCGAAGAAAATGGTGAAAGCCAAGATGGATGGAATGAAGAGCAGAAATCCAGCAACGAAGCTGCAGAAACGGACGCAAACTTGTCCGAAGCCAACAGTGGAAGCCAAGAGCAGAAAACGGACGAAGACTCCAACAAAACTACTGAAGCTGGCTCAACCGAAACCGAAAAAACAGTGGAAGCCAAGATGAGGAGCATGAAAGAGCAGGAAGACTCCAACGAAACGGCTACAGAATCTGGCTTATCCTCAGGCGAAGCCAACAGTGGCAGCCAAGTTGAAGAGCGCAAAGAAGAAGAAGTCTTTTACGAGATGACGACAGAATCAGGCTCAACTACAACTGAAATAAAAAGTGGAAGGCAAGGTGAAGAGCGGGAAGAAGAGGCAGGCTCCGGAGAGACCATTACCAAATCTGGCTCAATCTCAACCGAAGCAAACGATGGCAACAAGGATGAAGAGAAAGAAGAGGAGGAAGACTCAAACGAGATTACTACGGAATCTGGTTCAAGCACGACCGAAGAAAACAGTGGTAGCCGAGGTGGAAAGCATGAAGAGAAGGCAGACTCAAACGGGACAACTTCTGATTCTGGCTCGTCTTCTAGTGAAGAACAAAACAGCAAGCCTGAAGATGAAGAAAAATCTTCGTGGTTTGGTCCACTGAAAAAGCTTCCTGAACTATTCTCGGGACGTAGTGCTTGATAAGTCCTAGCGAATCCACATACTAGCGCTGTTTTTTCTCAAACGTGAGCAGCGAATTCTGGTCATTTTAGCATATTTCTGAAGTAATAAAGCAATATTACTTATGGCTCTTGCATCTTGTACTTTGCTAAAGAGAAATTAGAGAAAAAAGAAAGCAGGGAGGTTAACCAAATGTTAGTATACGGTATGAATGTACTGTGCAAAGCCTGAAAGATGTTAAGGGGTATAAATTAGGCCTCACACAAAGCATAATATTGCGTCAGTAACTTCTGTCCTTATAGTCGTTGGATACGTGACAAACCAAGAAAGGCACACTAGCGATTCCGTGATGAATTTTCAATCGCAGAAATGACACCAAAAGCGCACACAATAAGATCACAAAAAGAATATCCCGACGGGAGACAAACTCGTGACGTCACGTTCCACGACACCCTAAGCTGGGTACGCTTACACTTCGCCATGGTCGCATGCTCTGGAGGCTGTACAAACTCACCTTTTATATCACACACTCTCCTCCGACAGGGCTTTCAGTCGGCGGTGAAGGTATGAATCATGGCCACTGTCCACCGCTATTAGCTCCTGCAACGCGTAGCTACGCGTGTCCATTGAAATCAGCAGGTTTCCAAAAGCAAAATGCAATTTTACGAACGCCTTAAAGGCCAGTAAACAGCCCTGAGGTCCAAAAATTTTCAAAAGAGAGATATATGTGCAGTTTTTCTTTGCGAACATGCTGCTGCAGTAAGTTTGCGAATACGGTCTATATTAAGACAGTTACAGGGTTTATAACATCGGTCTAAGCTGGTTTCAAATTTTCGCGCGGCTTCGCCCCTCTTTCTGCCTTCCATGGAGGGAAAGGCGTAGCCCATAGTCAGTGACTCCGCTCACTTCAGGCACTGCGCCGTGCTCCCGACCAGGTTGCAGAAATTAGGTGCCTTTTCTCATCTTCCAACCACTACCGCTCAGTTCGGCAACGTGACGCCACGTCAGCGATTGACGTCATTGACGTGCTCAATCAGTCGCAATGCACTTCCGCTTGCTGCGAAGCGTGCTTGTTTGACTACCGTTGGCCGCACCAGCCACGAGTCAACCGCGTAAGCGTCTCGTGCGAAATGTCGACCACAAACGATCAGGTCCCCTACGTACGTCGCTGGATGGCATATTGGCTTCAGCTATGCAGCGGGCTGGGCCCCATCATGAGGCACCCGGTGCCGATGCTTCTCCGCTGCCCAGTCGCTCGATTCGCAGCCGACGACAGAGCGACGCTTTTTACCCGTGTTGCTCATCTGACGGGTGAAAGTATGTTCGTATGTGCGCACAGGCGCTTTGGTTGAGCGAGGAGTGTACACGTGCACGCGACAACTGCGAGGCTGGTTCTTTCACCACAGTGCCAAAGAAACAAGGGCCAGTTTCGTAGCTGTTCGTGGGAGCAGGAACTGATGTTGACTTCACTACTGTTTTTCACACCTCATTTAGACTATTCGGCGAGCTGCGTGCTACCGTCACGTCGCCGATCGCTGAGTTGACGTCACTGCGCGTGCAAAGGGGGTCGGACAGGCGTAGGAAAGAAGCGCGGGAATCGTTTTTTCGAAATAGAGGTCTGCGCGGGGCGCGGGGCGCAGCGCTGTAAAATTCAGAAAACGTGATCGCTGTGGTCTAATCTACGAATTGCCGAGCTTGTAAGGGGGTGTAAAAAAAGAGTCGGAGCTGTTTGCTGGCCCTTTAACACACCGCTAGGTGGCCACCTTAGCACAAGCATTCACTGCGCCCACGGCATTGATTTGCGTTGTACGCCTGCCTATTAGCCCCGAAAGGTTGGGGTGGCGCTGCCTGGTGAGATGACGTCACGGCAAGTATGCTTCGAGGCCTGCCATGGCGCGCCTACTATGACATGCGCTGGCATCGTACGCTGTTACGACTCTTTGCGGTTGTTTTTCACTGACTCTAGCTTCAAATGAATGACGAAAACATAATGCTCCTAGTGAAACAGCCAAAAAGCTTTGTTCAGTAAAATCACCAATGGTTACCGTGCTCCACCATACACTTCCATCAGGTTGTGTTCTCGTGCTGGTAAACTCGAGGAATGGTTCGATTCTCGGCCCGCGGCAGCTGCATACAGACATGAGTGAAAAGCAAGGGCATGTTTGTGCTATGATACAGAGTTATTCTACAGCGTGTCCCGCATTCAAGCCGGGATTTTTACATATATCACAGTGTAGTTACATCATTACAGCCCTTTCTTCCCGAGCGGTTTTTTTTTTTTCATATATGATGCCCTCACTTCCGAAAGCTGTATTTGTATCGGACACATGTTACTATCTGGCCGCAGTATTTTTTTTTTTTCGCCTGTGTACCAAGCTCTACGCACTGTTGCGAAAACCCATGCAGTAGTGAGGCTCGCAAGGCATCTGCAAAGTGCATGACTGAAAATTCAATCGTAGCTGTAGCTGTTGTATCGGTTTTTTTATTGCTATAGCAATTATATGAACACTCTCGGCTGGATTTCGCCGCCAGCGTTGGCGGGAGCGTCGGCGTCAGCATCGATGTCATGCCCTGTATATGCATACGTGTCTATATATGAAAACGCAAGAAAGAAAAAAATTCGAGAAAATTAGACTCCGAAGCACGGATTTGAACGTGGGACCTCCGCATCATGAATGCGGGGCGTTAACCACTAAGCCACTGAGAGGTACTGAGCTCTGAGCCACTGAGAGGTCAAACGGTAAGCTATTCATATCTACCACTTACCGCTTTGGCGGGCATCTCGGTGGATAATATCGTGTTTTCAGCATTATCAGCAAGATGGCGCAGTGAGCGCACGGCGGCTCTCATCTCTCACTCGTACTTGGCCCGCGTAGAGAATGAGGTGCTGTACTGTATACGCTCAAACGTGCGCCCTTATCGTACGTCTTGACTAGCCTTTGAGTTTCCTCGGAACGATTCTGTTGTAGTTAACAGGCGCACAAAGGCCACTGCTATCGTTGCACAGCCTTCGTTTGCGAAAAGGGCGCGCTTTTCAGACACAGCGAAGTAAGAACTGAGATGCTTATTCGCGTTAATCTGTACCTGTGAGTACGTTTCGTGCGTTCTTTGTGCGCGAGAAACGCGGGGCACGTTTCAATCTGCTTGCCATTCTGCGCGTGACCTTCCAATTTGTTGCTATTGCGTTCATTGCTTCGCCTTTGCGGTAAAGCTGTGACTTTTTTTATGTAATATCTCACTCGTAATGAAGTTTGACGCTTTCATCACACTAATTTCGGGGCTTTGTTTCCCTAAAAAACGAGTTGAGGTTTATTGCAAAAACTTCGTGCAGCAACGTAGCAACGGCGCTGTAACAACTGCACCCGAGCTTCATTAACTTGTATGTCGATATGACCTTCGAGACCAGACGCTGTCTCATTGAGGCGAACACTTTTTAACTAATACGTGGGTCATGTCGCTAAGAGCACCATCGAAACCATTCCAACGATGATTTGAATTTCAATCGTTCGGCAAACGGTTTGTTATCAATAGTCTCCCACGTAAGTTAAACTTACCGCTTGTGAGGCGGGTTTGATCGGGCCAGCACTTCAAGCGAATCGGAATATACGGCCGCATATTCCTGGTGACTAGCTGTTTAGATGAAATATTTACAGAATGCAAGTGCACTAACATCTCAGCATTTCCTGGAACGCTTTGTATACATTCCGAATATATTATTACAGCTTATGGTAGATCCTCACGTCTCTATTAGCAAAACTGCGCCACTTTGTAAAATCACCTGAATAATGCGCATAAAAACTGCGTTGTATTTGTGAATTGGAAAATGCCCTAACTGTATTTGCAATTTTTAAGGACAGGATGTCCTAATCCTAGAGTGCACGGCAAGTTGTGATGAAATCATAGAATCATCAGCGTAAGTATTTTTAGCACCAGTTCTTGCCGTGCAAGCTGTCTTCTAGCATTGTACATAAACATTTATTCTTTCCGTAAGAAACGTTTGAATTTTTTGGTATATTGATTGCTATCACGTAGGGATCAACCGCGTTTTTCTGTTTGGCTACTGATGAGCAGTTTCTCTTAATACCGCACGCACCAACACATACGGGAGGATGGCTAGACTTTGCCAGATCGCTAAAAATTGCGGCACCAGCTTGAAGAACTATTGAAATAGAATTGTCTCCGGGACCCTCACGTTGACAAAGACAGCAATGTCGGCTTGTCTAAGGTGAAACTTTTAATTTGGCCCAACTTCAAGAACTTGAAGGCCTCAGTGATGTTGCTTCAAAAAATACAGTTCTTGTAAATTTACAACACCGATTAGACTTATAGCCATAGACTAGTGGGGGTCTAACAAAAAAAAGTGTAAAGCACAATAACAATTTTTAGAAAAGGCACAACTTGAAGAAAACTCCTATTATGAAAAGGAAACATGAATAAATGACAGATTGCATTACTATTTAGGATGAAATATTACATAAGTGATCTGCATGAGCATATTTTTAATGATATTATAAATATCCCATAACTTGCTATCTAGAAATGGAAACTCAAACTCGGGCACGCCTGTGCAGACTGTACACTCGAGTATATCTGTGAATGGAGCACGGGCTTTCGGTAATCTGGTCCGCGGCTCTTCGCTCAGCATTTATACATGCGGCGCCGAACATTCGAGTGTTATCACTTGTGGCCGCGTTTGTACGAGAATGAATCCATCTCAATTCTACTGATGATCCTTACATAACCTGGTTTTCTGCAAAGACATTCTGTCACGTTTGTCCAAGGCAATATCTATACGTGCGATGGGCCAGTAACATATGATATAGAAGAGAATGTGCGTGGCATATGCACCCACAGGGAAAAGGTATCGTTCCGATGCTTTAATGGGCCCCTAAACAACTCGCGAAAATACGAAGAACAAACGAATCATCGCAATTCCGCTTTTACAATTTCAGGCCTGCTCACTGTTTCCGCAGCGGGCTCTGACGTCACTCCGTTAAGACCAATGTGTTTCGCTCACAGAC